GTATATGAAGAAGATATAAGCACAGAGGAGTCATGAGTAGCAAAAATCACCAGAACGGTGAAAACAAGGATACGAGAGTAAAGATAACGGGAGCAGGAACTCTGAATGAAGAAGGAAGAAGGAGATGCAGGGATTAAATATTTGAGAATGCAAAGAGTAAGGCAAAGGGTTTCATATCCCTATTTATAAGAACTCAGGCATCAAAATAGAGAAAGCAAACTGTCAATGCCCAGCGCAGGTATCGAAACGGCAAAGGCATGGGAAACGACGCAAGGCATCGGGAAAACACGTAAAATGACGCATGAAGTCATGACATCACTCTGAATCGACATGACGCTAGGTTACGGCTCACAAAGGGCCACATTGCCACCTCATCTGAGACGTTACTACTTAACCTGCTCGCCTAAATTTCTCAACCACAACTAACGGAGTTCGCTCATCTAGGTCGTCCAAAGTTGGCCTCAATAAGCGGAGGGACTAACTGTATGGGTCAAAATCTGCCCTAAGGGAATTTAGCATGATGGGGAATTAGAAAAGGTGATGCGGCCGAGGTCGACTAGTAAATAGTAAGACTCGTAGCCGGGCAGTCAACGATGGTCGAGGTCAAGCATCAAGGACAGAGCACTAACGGCTACTTTTTGTAATAGGATATTATAGAGAATATTCCAGAGAATATTTGAATATTCTCTGCATTTGTACTATTAGGGTTGATTAAGTGTATGGCTCATATAAATAGAAAAAGAGATAAGGGGATAAGGCATGTAATATCCATTTGATAAGAACACTTTCTGAGAAGAAGACTTTCTCTCTAGAAAAGACAAACATTGCATTTTCATTATGTCACGACCCGGATTTCCCACCCTCGGGAGTCGTGATGGCGCCTACTAATAGGAGCTAGGCAAGCCAATTAATTTAACACTTCTCTCAACATCATTAACAGTATAAAGAGGAACGAGGCAATTAATATAAAAGCGGAAGTCTCGAAACATAAATAACTGAAACCAAGTGCGGAAATTCAAATACACCTCTACCCAGATCTGGTGTCACTAACTCACGAGCTTCTACTAAATGCTAAATACAAAGTCTGAATAAGAATACAGTACTGTCTGATCCGATACAAGGGAAATCAAACGAAAGACAGAGATTAGAGAGACTCCGGGCCATGCGGACGCCAGCAAGCTACCTCGGAAATCTCCGGACTGAAGTAAGCCCCCAACGCTCCTACTGCTGTCCAAAGGCTCCTGCTTCGGTACTATGATCTGTGCAAAAAGCATAGAAGTGTAGCATTCAGCACAACCGACCCCATGTGCTGGTAAGTGCCTGGCCTAACCCCGGCGAAGTAGTGACGAGGCTAGACAGGACCTACCAAAAACAACCTGTGCAGATATATATATATATACAAAGGCAACAGAAATAACAACAGAGAATATCAACTAAAAAGGGGAAGGGGGCATGCTCGGGGAAAATACAGTGAATACAGATCAACGGATATAACGACGAAACTATCTTTAACCATATCTCATATATAAGTGGTCGGCGCGCCACACGATCCCGTTTCTTAATTCATAAGTGGACGGCGTGCCACACGATCCCATTTCATAATATATAAGTATAAGTGGTCGGCGTGCCACACGATCCCATTTCATAATATATAAGTGGTCGGCGTGCCACACGATCCCATTTTATAATGAATAATATCATATAATCTGGCTTTGTAAAGAAGGCCCCATTAGGGGAATTCGACAACATAACACTTTAACCCGGCAAGGGTACAACTAACAGCCCAAATATCCCGGCAAGGGAGAGTACATAATAATAGTCTACACGTCCCGGCAAGGGAATAATCACAACACATCCTCTTTTAAATCACTTCTTTCTCAACTATCACATTCTTGTTCGAGCCAACGCTCCAAAATATACCAATCACAATTCTTCCTCAACCGTTCACATTATATGAAATTTATCAATTAAACAAGGAAGTTGTGTCACATCATTCGAATTAAAAGCAATTAAGACTCACGGTCATGCTAGACTCCGGTGCATAGACAACCGTCACCATGCCTATACACCGTACTCCACATTTAGCAAGTAGAAAATAACATCCTAATCCTATTCCCTCAAGCCAAAGTTAGAACAAACACTTACCTCGGTCCAAGAATAGCAATCAACTCTCTAATACCGCCTTTCCTCTACAATCCAACTCCGAAACAATGATATCTAGGCATAATTAGTTCAATAATATCAATAAGGGCTCAAAACATAATCCCATAGCCTAGAAATGAAATTCCTATCATTCTTCCAAAAACACCAAAATTCGACACCGGTCCCACATGGTCCAAACACGAGGCTCGGACCAAAACCCAATCACCCATAACCCCACGAGTTCAAATATATAATTTATTTCAAGATTCGACCCCAAATTGAGGTTGAATCACCCAAAATCCCCAAAGCCCTAACTCTACCCAAAACCCCCATTTTCTACTTTGAATTCATGATTTAGGGCTAGGAAATTAGTGATTAGTGGAAGGAATTAAGAGGGAAAGAAGTTAAGAACACTTACCTAAGAGGCTATGGAGAAAGAAGCTCTTCAAAATCGCCTATGGAGTGTTAGAGAGAGGAGCTCGTGTGAAGAAATGGCTAAATCCCGAGCTACTGATTCTGTTTTGAACTTAATAATTCGTTGGGCAAAATTGCCCTTCGCGTTCGCGGGAAAGGGGCCGCGTTCGCGAAGGGTAAACTGGACACTCCATCGCGAACGCGTGAAATAGAATGCGAACGCGTAGAAGAAAATGTTGGGGGGGGGGGGTCCAGGGACTGTTATACGCGAACGCGTGAGGGGCCACACGAACGCGTTGAGGAAGCTGGTAAAGCTACGCGTTCGCGATAGTGAGGATGCGAACGCGTAGGAGGGGGAATTTGAACTACCCGATCGCGTGAAGTAGGACGCGAACGCGTAAGAGGGGAAGACCAAAGCACTGCGAACGCGAGCCTGAGGTCGCGTTCGCGAAGAACAAAATGCCTGTGTAAAAAATGCAGCAGAATCTGATCCTTTCCTAAGTGTAAAAACACCCCGAACCACCTCCAATTCACTCCCGAGCCCTCGGGGTTCCTAACCAATCACACACACTAACTCAATAACATCCTATAAACTTACTCGAGCGATCAAATCGCCAAAATAATATCAAAAATCATTGAATCAAGCCTCAAGATCATCATTTTCATTTCAAACTTCATAACTTTAAATTTTAGATATTTAGGTCCGAAACACGTCAAATGACATCCGATTTCGACCAAACTTTACAGAAAGCGCTTAACACATATTTAAGACTTGTACCGGGCGTCGGAACCAAAATATGAGCCCGATACCATAGTCTTTTAATCAATTTTCATTTCCATTTTCCTTAATAATTTCAGAAAAATAATTTCACAGAAAAATTCATTTATCGGGCTCTCGACCTCGAAATTCGACTCCGGCCCGAGTCTCATATTTTTCTACGGATCCTCCGGGACCGTCAAATCACGGGTCCGGGTCCGTTTACCAAAAATGTTGACCAAAGTCAACTTTAATCATTTTAAAGCCACATTTTGAAATTTTTCACAGAATTTAACATATAATCTTTCCGGCTACGCGCCCGGACTGCGCACGCAAATGGAGGCAACTAAAGGTGAGGTTTTCAAGGCCTCGGAAGCACGAAAAAAGAGAGAAATCCGGTGATGACCCTTTGGGTCGTCACACATTAAGATTCTATCATCCAGTATTCAATACTTTTTCACCAGATCCGAGAATATATCCAACATTTTAGGATTTGTCTGTCATTCATCATTGTCAGAAAGAGGAATCATCCAACTCATTCAATATTGGGTGAATCATTCTCTTTATTTACGTTAATGCCATTTATTGCTTTTTACTACTTGATATTTATCTCTCATTATTCAAACCGTTTAAAATATTAAATGCACATTGCATTTGATCTCCCACCAACGTTGTTCTACGTTATTTGTGTTAACTGATTATAAATCTAGAGAAATTATCATTAATTAGGTTTAATCCCTCATTGTATAAAAAGTTTGTTTAGCCAAAATTTACGCTTTTTGGTCAAACACCCCGCCCCTATCTTTCCTGCTTTTGTTAGAGATAGTATGTGTACTATGTTGTCAGACTAGTCTCCCTGTGTAATGAACCTTTTTACTTTGAATAAAAGTCCTTTATTACCACCAAAAAAAACATTGATGATGTTATGTTTGATATATTATCCCATGAAGAATCATATTTATCACCTCTTGAATCATGAAAAGTGGAATTAAAATACAAAATGTTGTGGAACTGCCCACATGGCCACTTTTTGCAAATGAAACTTCTGTCTATGGTCCAGAAATGAGGTTATTATAAAGCCTTTAGCCGTCTCCTATACCCTACAATACAAACTAAATTCTTAGTCGCCAACTATAAAAGGAAATAATAAACTTCTTTGACAATGATATCATTTGACCAAATTCCCTATATCAACGCAAATGAAAAGTTTAAGTACTGATTATTTCCATTGACACTACAAGTCTGAATTTCTCACCGAATGAGTGAGACTCTAGGAACTGTTAGAGAACAAAATGTCAAAAAAATAGGAAGGAAAAAATTTCAACAATGTTTTGTTACAACTGCTGCCAACTCTAATCACTCTCATTGAAATCAACTTCATATCCTCAATGTAGATTATCATATAATTAAGCACAATATTTTAATATAGTATATATTACACTATCAAGAAAAACTTCAATCCTATAAATGTCTATGATTAAGACTTTCCTAGAGTTTTATTATATAGCTGTCAACAACCCTAATAATTATCATGCATAGTTCAACCCCTTGCCCCAAACATCCTGCTAATCCTACCAACTAAAAAACATCATTTTTTTTTCAAACATCGTGTTTGTACGTGTCTTGTTTAATATAATTCTTTGTTGTGTCCGCTTTCACGTCTTCATCTCGGAATCTTTAGCAGCTTTGCTTTGCCTTGTCTACTACGTCAAACCTGTCTTAAATAATACTCCATATATTATACAAAGAGAGAACTCGGTAATGGAGATCACTATAACACCAATTATCTGCATAGTTTTTGAATTTTGAACCGTTTTGACACTGTTGTAATTATACCCATGTTTTGTATTTCTTCAAGTTGTCTACTACAGGTAAAATTTCAGGCTATTACTTATCTATACTCTTCAAAGTCAAGGGTGCCACGACCAGAATGAGAAAGTTGGCTCCTTTAACGCGTAGGCTCCTATTTTTCGCGTTGTTTCTGGTGGTGGAATCAGGTGATCAGATCAATGAATTCTATCCAAATGAAAGAGATGCCTTATTGCAGCTTAGAGATAGTGTAAAATCAAGTGTGTTTGATTTGCATTCACATTGGACAGGTCCTCCTTGTTACAAGAACCTGAGTAATTGGGCTGGAATTCTTTGTTCTGATGGACATGTCATTCACTTAGTTTTAGAAGAAATTCAGCTAACTGGTTCTCTTCCACCAACATTCTTGGAACAAATAACTTTCTTGAAAAAACTCAGCTTTAGAAACAATTTCTTGTATGGTTCTCTACCTAATCTCACAGGTCTAGTTTATCTAGAATTTGTGTTACTTTCAGATAATCGATTTTCGGGTTCGATTCCAGAAGGGTACATTGAGTTGCAAAATTTGACAGAATTAGAGCTCCAGGGAAATGATATTGAAGGTTCAATTCCACCATTTGATCAGCAGAGTTTGATTGTTTTCAATGTGTCTTCTAATAAACTTGAAGGACCTATACCTGAAACTTCTGTTTTACAAAGATTTCCAAGGAGTTGTTATGGAAATAACTCAAATTTGTGTGGTGGAATTATAGGAATACCTTGTCCAATACCACCTTTTAGTCCACCAAAATCACCAATTCCTTATATATCTCCACCCTCACCAGGTGAAAAGAAGAAGAATGGTCTTAAAGTTTGGAGTATTGCTTTGATAGCAGCAGCAGCAGCACTTGTCCCTCTATCAATAATGTTCATTTTACTTGGTTACTTTAGAAGATCTAAGAGAAAAGAAACACAAGGAGAACACAAGGAAGGTAAGAGTAGTTACATTTTATATATTTAAGGGGGAGCCTTAGCGTAACTGGTAAAGTTGTTGTCGTGTGATCAGGAGGTCGAGCGTTCGAGCCGTGGAAACAGCCTCTTGCAGAAATGCAGGGTAAGGCTGCATACAACAGATTCTTGTGGTCCGGTCCTTCCCCCGACCCCGCATATAGTAGGAGCTTAGTGCATCGGACTGCCCTTTTAATCCTGTGCCAGTTTTCCGGGGGAAAGGTTATTGCTTAGATCGAATTAGATGAGCAAGTCATCTGGTGCAGGGCTGTTTTTTCGACTGGGAACGAGACAGGGGAGCGGGAGTTGGCTGTAACTGAGACATATTTTTCGGATGTACGATATAGATTTTTTCTAAAAGGAACCATTTTTTTAAAACTGCGAGAGGAAGGTCATTCAGAACTCGTTGGCTCCGGAGGGGCTAAAGATGATTATTTTGTGACAGGAAGACAACCAATTCATTCCCATTATGACGTCAAAGTCAACCATTTCTAGCTCAATAAGATTGGCTCTAGTCACTCGGCCCTGAACTGTAACTATACAACATAGAACTAGATTAGCTACTGAGTTGGACTTACAAATCCACAACTTTTTTTGGGTTTTTTTTGGTTTCTCTTTTATTCAATTTGGACATATTGCAAAAATATAGGAGGAGGATGACATGTGATGATAGAGTAGTTTATATTGTTATTATTTCCTCTTTTGACATTTCCAATTTTAATTTTGACAGGAAATATTTCAAATGAGAATGTGAAAAAGAGAAGGTATTGGTCAGAGAGCACAGAAGATCCAGAAAGAACATTGGAATTAGAATTCTTTGACAAGGATACATCAGTGTTTGACATGGATGATTTACTAAGGGCATCAGCTGAAGTGTTAGGAAAAGGAAAGCTAAGCACAACATATAAAGCAATACTGGAATCTGGTGTTGTTGTTGCTGTTAAGAGACTCAAAGAAATGAATTCATTGAGCAAAAAGGAATTTATCCAGCAGATGCAGTTGCTTGGTAAACTGAGACATGAAAACCTTGTGGAGATGATTTCATTCTACTACTCAAAGGAAGAGAAGCTCATTGTTTATGAATATGTTCCCTATGGTGACTTGTTCGAGCTATTACATGGTTTGTTCATTAACTCTATTTTTTCTTTCTTTTTCTGGCAAAGTAAATATCTTAATTTTACTCAGAGTTATACTTTGAGACTATTCATTGTTATCAGGAAATTGTGCCATAATTTTACTTCTATTATAGTTTAGGGCTATTTATACCCTTTCCTTTAGCAAATCGTCTCGTATTTCTGCATGAACTCGACTAGATGAATTCAACGTGTCACATTCGGGGAAAGAGAAAGGGGAGCTTTGGAGCAATAGTCAAGTTGTGATCTATAGGTCATGCATTCGAACCGTAGAATCAGCCATTGATTCTTGCATCAGGATAGGCTACTTACATCACATCCATTTACGGTGTGGCCTTCCAGACCCTGTGTGAATGCTAGATACTTTGTGCACCGGGCGGCCTTTTACAATTGAAAAAAGATCCAAATTGACACTCTTTTTTTAATTATGGTTTAGATTACCTCATGTTATACACTTATACTTCAAGTTCGACTCTGTTAGGCTATAGAGCAAATATAAGCCGATTTACTCATAGCAAATCATCCCTTTTTTACCCTTAAAATTACCTTTTAAAAAGTAATGATTCTTGGTTGCAGAAAACAGAGGAATTGGGAGACAACCACTAAATTGGACAGCAAGAATATCAATCATAAAGGATGTTGCAAAGGCTCTGAATTTCTTGCACCAGTCATTACCATCACATAAGGTGCCACATGGAAACATCAGATCAAAAAATGTTCTAATCCAACAAGACCCCAACAACAAGAATTACCATTCCAAGCTAACAGATTATGGATTCTTGCCTTTGCTACAATCTAAAGAATCCTCAAAAAAATTAGCAGTGGGAAAATCTCCAGAGTTCTGTCAAGGGAAAAAGCTAACAAGAAAAGCTGATATCTATTGCTTTGGTATTCTACTCTTAGAAGTAATCACTGGAAAAATACCAGGTGAATTATTCTCACCAGAAAATGGGGTTACAAGTATTGCTGATGATGATCTTTCTGAGTGGGTTAGAACAGTGGTAAATAATGATTGGTCAACTGATATTTTGGATATGGAAATATTAGCACAAAAGGAAGGGTATAATGAAATGTTGAAACTTACTGAATTGGCTCTAGAGTGTACAGATGAGGTACCAGAAAAGAGGCCAAAAATGAGTCAAGTGTTTAGAAGAATAGAAGAGATTGAGGTTGAACAAAAGAGATCAGTTAATGATGTTGAAGATGATTCAGTTTCTTAGTTGAAGTTTCCTTTCTAAACTGTAATCAAGAAAGTTAGAAATTTAGCTTTAAAGCAGAGTTAATTTAATTAGTTTTATGATATTATTTTCATTCTACAAGCTAATTCTTTGTAGATCTTTGATAATTATTTCCAATGTTCATCTTTTACTAGATGAAAATTAAATACCCATTTGAATTAACACATAGTACAATGTTTCTTTTTCATTTTTTTTTTTTTTGGATAGCTGTATTATTATTTGAATAAATTCAATAAAAGAATTTGGCCTGTGCGGCTAATCCCAAGTTTGGATAAAAAGAAGGGTCGCAGTTGGTTGATAGGTAAAACTAATCAAACACAAGTCGCATAAGGCCGTACTCAGCTAACCACGGGTTACATTGGCACCTATGACCTATGTATGAGATGAAAAATAGGCTTAGTTCTATGACATCGCCACATAAAAGTAAGAGAGTATTCTTATATAATATTGAAATAAGATGAGCTTAAATGAGCGATAAAATTCGTATATAACCGACTTCTTGATTGGTATTAGGATGTAGTATTGCATTCCAAGAAAATAATATTCACAATTCAAATGGATACATCTAGAAAATGGTAATATATATATATATATATATAATATTCTGATTCGAAAAATGAGTAATCAACTTGAAGAGTAACACGTTTGAAGAGTAACACGTCCTCCTCAGGTTGAAGAAGAATAGTATTCCCCATTCTGATTCTGTACATAATAATGCATGTAGTAGCTGGGAAACTTCTGAGGTGTGGGGCCAATTGATTTTGGCAGCAAGCAAAAGGATGACGATAAAGTTTTGAATAAAGCCCAAATTTTCTTGAATTTGTTGCAGTTTGTGGATGAACATGAGTTCAGCTGATAGGAAATAAAAGAGAAGCAACTCGAACATATATAGGTTTCATTTAATTCAAGTATATAGTAGTGTGGATGGAGTTTGGAAGTAAGTCTTTGGGTTTGAGCTTAGCCTCTTAGGTGGAAGAAGAGTAAGAAGAAAACGGTGCTAATTGGATTGAAACAGACACCTATGTAGTACGTGTCAATACTCATGCACACTTTCACCCAAGTGTCCACTTCATTCCAAACTCCATTTTTTGTCTTAACTTAAACCACCCATCTACTTCTATTATAACACCATATATCTCCTTCTTGGTTACCCTCATCTTTCTTTGAGCTCTTCGTCTTTATCTTCTCTTCTTTCTTGATTTCTTCTGTGACTTCATATATTCTGTGCGACTTCATTCAGCTTTGATCACTAATTAATATCTCAAGAAAGTTTCAGAGCAATAATCTTACAGCTCTGATCAGTGGTACTAAAGCTGCTAATTGATTGTGAAAGCTGTTGGTTCGAAAGAAACAGAACAAAGAACATAACAGATAATAATCTATGGCTATGCCAGCGCGGAGATATGCATTTGGGAGGGCGGATGAAGCCACCCACCCTGATTCCATGCGCGCCACCTTATCTGAGCTCCTCTCCACCTTCATCTTCGTCTTTGCCGGTGAAGGCACCGTTCTTGCTCTTGGTAAGTGGTATCCTATCCCTTTCATTTTATAGGATGGTGTGATTAGGTACAGTGACATGTTAGAAGGTAAGTACATTCTGAACTTGTAGTGTAAAATCATGCCTATCACATTTCTATAGCGATAGAGTAAATAACAAAAACGTACAGGTTGAAAAAGAAAGTGTGTGTATCATCTTAGTTCAGCTATTTTATGCTGTCAATCATGATTTCTTACCAGGTTGAAGAATATATAGTTCTAACACTATCTTAAGCAGAGACACTTGTCATCATGCATGCATGCACAGAGGTTGTATCACTATGAATATTTGTTGTGCAGATAAGTTGTACCCGGATTCGGCATTAGGAGCATCAAGACTGACAGCGATAGCGCTGGCGCAAGCGCTATCGTTCTTTGCAGCCGTAGCCTCCAGCCTGAACGTTTCTGGAGGACATATCAATCCAGCTGTTACCTTTGGTGCGCTTGTTGGGGGCAGGATATCCGTCGTTCGTGCTGTCTACTATTGGTTAGCTCAGCTTGTAGGTGCTGTTATAGCCTCTCTCTTATTGAGGCTTGCTACTGATGGCTTGGTATATTCTTCTCTTTGTTGTTTTAACATCTTTACTCCTGTTGTATCTGAGATTGAGGCGTAATTGTTGTTGATGTTGATGTTTTTCCAGCGGCCACTGGGATTCTCAGTGGCAGCAGGAGTTGGCAACCTGAATGCACTTGTGATGGAGATAGTGATGACGTTCGGACTAGTCTACACAGTATATGCAACTGCCATTGATCCAAGGAGGGGAAGCTTGCACACCATTGCCCCACTTGCTATTGGTTTCATTTTAGGGGCAAATGTCCTAGTGGGTGGGCCTTTTGAGGGAGGATCCATGAACCCTGCAAGGGCATTTGGGCCTGCTCTTGTTGGCTGGAGGTGGAGGAACCACTGGATTTACTGGTTGGGCCCTTTTGTGGGTGCAGCCCTGGCTGGACTTATCTACGAGTATGGGATCATACAGCATGAGGCCGTTCCGCGCCCGACCACCCATCAGCCATTGGCACCAGAAGATTACTAAATGCACTTCGATAGCAGTCTTCCATTTGTGAATAAGAGAGGATTGTGCTTAAAAACTGAAACTTTTATGTGAAGTTTGTACTCCAGTCTATGGTTGTCTTTTAATTCCCTTTTCTAATGTTTTCTGCATTTAGATACTTCTTTATGTAGTTGCATTTTGTAAGTTCCCCAAAATAAAGACAATGATCCCAGGAATAGCATTGTACCTTTATCCATGTGTCTATTTTCGGCTTTTTATTTTAATGGAGTCATGTTTGTGCCAGTTCAATTTTTGGCTTTGTTCATAATATTCAGCATCCAAAATCCAGTCACGTACCCACAATCCATCCCAGATTCTATTTGTGGGATCTCTCTGGGTTTGTTGTTGAATGCTAGTGAGTAGTGATTCAAATCCCACTTTGTGATTTTACTGGGTTTATTATTGTGGGTTTGTTGTTATATGCTAGGGAGTAGTGACTAGTAGTATAACATTCTACTCTCTAATGAACCAGAGGTCTAATCTAGTTACTTGTATATATCAAGGACATCCCATCAAGAAACTCATGGATGTATGATGTGAGTTAACAAGTTAAACTGTTAGGTAATTTCCTTTGCAAGTTGAGGTAAGAGTCTGAACTGAATATTTGAGCAAAAGTTTGAACTGAATATTTGACGACAGATGATGGTAGAACAGGATGAATGCCATGGCTAGGCAGATGGAAACAAATTACAACATGAAATACTGTCGTACATCAAATAGCATTCTTACTTGGAGATTGCTAAAGTTTGCCATAGAATCTGGCAACCCAAGGAGCAAGTTCAGTTACATCAGGGGTTCTAGGATTGGAGGCATAATAATCAGACCAATAACAAGGAGACATACTCTCTGTAAGTTTACTATTAGAGTAAATGCAAAATGGCAGCCAGTCTTCTCCTCCATTCATTCTTCTTTTCCGCTCTCTTGGATACGCTAATGGCGCCTGCACATACCTGCAGCCAAACAATCCCTCAAGGTTTTTTGATCCTCCAAAACGTGTTACCCTAACATAACAACTCAGTTCTGCACTGTAATAGAATGGGGATATAACTTGACTAGTTCTTTTGAAGCTGCTTTATTCTGTTCTTCTATGTGAAGGTTATACTTTACATTTTGTAGGAGTTCAAAGTGATTCTATATTATTGGGGAAGCCATTTGGATTAGTAAGTTACAGAAACATGATATGCTAAAGGCAATGAGATATTTAAAAAACTAAAACTCTTGCAAGATTATTACTATTCAGGTTTCATCAGATATATCACACAATTTTTTAAAGGAGTATCTTCTTCGTTTCATAGAGTATATTTCCAGCTAGATGCATGATTTTCGTGGCAAAATCTAATACAATTAAGTTTGGCTGCATTTTCAAAAATTATACTATAATATTAGGTCACATTTCCGTCTTCTCCATCAACATATTCTAAGAACAGAGCTCAGAGGAAAATAATCTAACACTCATGCACGCTACATTTTGCTTCAATTAAAAATTCCTTACAACTAGGAAGCATTTAATCTTACTAAGCTAGAACTCCGTGGCAAGGTTTACCACAGACAAAGACAGATGGAAAATTGTCCCAGAGTTGGTGGACAGTTTGGAAGGTGGACAGTTTGGAAGGAAAGGAACTCGAGATGTTTTGAAGATATAAGCAACCCTCTCCAGAAAATTAAGATGAAGTGTATTCTGCTGCTTCTTTTTTTGGTTTAAATCAGAATATATAGATGATCCTGTTTCAATTCTAGATGTTTCAAGCTCCTTGAAAGAAGAACAAGGATATTTATGGATATACTGAATATGTTACCTTCTCCAAAAAAAAAAAAAAAGGGAGAACGCACCTGATACCGTCAAGCTGGACATCCCAGCAGAAGTGGGTGTGACCAAAAATATGACAAGCTTTTGTGCTCCCTCTAGCTCCATGTATGTATCTTATTCGGGCCTCAAGAAAGTCAGAACCAATCATCTTTGGAAGGTTGGGATAGAAAAGCATTCTCTTCTCTGGACAAAGCTCTAGTCTGCAAAGAGATGACAATAAACAGTCCAATCAGAGTACAACAACGAAATCATCAGCATAAGATGTTTAAGGACTGCAATCTATCGGACAAAGATATTTAAAAGTTGGAGAATATACTACACTGTTCTGAGAAGAGGACTACATCTAATTTTAATTCAGTTCAAAGAACTTTTGTATCAAGCTACTCATGTACCTTCCCTGGAGAAATCCCAAATTAATAGGAAAAACAACAAACAGAAGATAAATGATGCATGAGAGTTATTGAAACAACATGTAACCCACCAACCATAGGGCCGAGTTTCCACATAGTTTTCTTCTTAAAGATAGCTAGCTACTCACGTTAATTACCTACATGGAGGACATATACCTCTCCCCTACATAAAGCGAGAAATATCTTAGAGGAAGCACCATATAGTGATACAGTATTATACAACAAGTAATGCATGCCTTGTGACCACAATTGCTTTGGAAGGGGGAGAGACAGCAAGAGAAAAGGATGAAAAAAAGTGGTAGAGAGAAAGCACTATGATACTGTAGTTAGGTCCTGTAGTAATATTGGAGGACAGTAAAGGGTGTATGCTCGCCCATACAACATTAGAGAGAACAGTAAGAAGGAGAGAGATGGAGATCTTTCAATGTATTCTTTTATCCTTGTTAATATGACACAACAGGATATTTCAGCATTTTTTTCATATTCTTGATCTCTCGATTCTCGGTATAACACATTGGTGACAAAAACTACTACTATCATTTAGCTTAGCACAACGTAATCTGAGACCATTGAAGAGAGAGTATTAATTATTAATTATTAACGCTTGACACAGGCTTGGGAGAGGACACCAATGACAGTAAACTGTACATGCTAGTAAAGCATGTTGTTATCAAAGTCCATTAAGTTGGGAAATATGACGCGATGCTTTCATTAGAGTGATAACTCCTGTAAGATGCAATATTGCTGCCCTGAAATATATGATTTTACACATGATCTTCTTGAACCTTGATTCTATGGAGTAAGCTAGTAGTGCCAGTGAGGTGGAATGTCCACTACTTTGAAGAATGTTAAGTTTTTAAGTATCCATTGCGCCCTCTTCCCCTCCCATGTTTTCTCCCCACCCCCACCCACCCCCCCCCCCCACGAAAAAAAACACAGCCCAAAGAAAAGGAAAAAGAAGTCCATCTATCTTGATGCATGTATTGATGAAAGGAGCAGTAAAGACGCTTAGCTTATTAACACAGAGCAAGACAAGAAAAGAGGAAGGCATTATCACATTCTCTACCTAAAGATTTTACAGAAGAACTGAGCAATCCAAATAAAACCCTCGTCAAAAAATGGTACAGAGAAAATACACTAGATTCAAAACATTCCGACAGGAATGTATCAATATTCTCATCGAGGCTACCAAACGAAAATGAACGTATCAATATATTCTTTCAACTCAATACAGGAAGCCATGGAGGAGAAAGAACTACGTCCAGTAACAATAATTGTCAGACCAAAGAAGGCAGCACAAGCAATGGCGGAGGCAGGATTTTCGCTAAGGGGGTTCAGAAAGAAAAAGTTAAAAATTAAAAGAGACTGTTGCCAATGGGAATTGAACCAGCAACCTCACAAAGGTTTTGAATTCCCTTGACCACTGAGCTATGCTTTTGGGTTGTGTCAAGGGGGTTCAAAATATAATATATAGAGGTACAAAACGGATTTTGTCTTATATGTACAGTGTAATTTTCCGGCGAAGGGGGTTTGGGTGAACCCCCTTTCGCCCTCCTAAATCCGCCCTTGAGCACAAGTGAGTAAGATCTGTTTAGCATAATTAATCACTCTAAAGCATTCATCTCCAGTCAATGAAAATGTCAAATAGCCCCACATTATGAAAACTTAAACATAAGTGTTCCAAATCATCTTGTTATAGTTTACGAAATTTATGCTCGCTTACGGTGGCTAGTTATGGTCAATAAGAAGCAACTGCAGTGAAATCACATTTTTAGCTGATAAAAAGTAATCCCTCATCCAGATAAAGTTGACCCACTGCATTTCTGGTCCGCCCTTCAAGAACATCGTTAAATCCTACAAGAAGCCTCTACTGCACAAGACTGAGGCTTTTCAACCATAATCGACCAAATTTTAGACTAGCAACCCAAAGAGATTTTAAAATAGCCTGAGCTACTCACTAACCTTGGAACAAAGTGTGAGAATGAAATTATTTGGTTGCATCTTGCCAGCATTTCCTGGACTGTATCCTGATTCTTGTCATTCATGGCATCAAAATGTGCAGCAAGGGAGTTATCTCCATTTATAAGTCCATCAGGCCACTTGCATGCACGGAAGTCCTTACATGCCTGTGCAAAAATTGGTGAGGGTGAATTACACTGTACTAGCATAGAAGACAGAATCAGTAAACTACTATGTATCACTAAATCAATGTCTATTAACTGTGTAATAGAAACTTGTTGAAAGAACAAAAAATAACTGTCCGAGCATTGCAAACTCACAAAAATCATAGAGAAATGTTACAATACAAGTAGCAAAATGAACAGGCTCAGAACAGTGACAGTGCATCCAAAGCAACCACAAAAAGAAGTCACTAAGATAGTTAAACAAATAAAACGCAAAAGAAGATGAGCAAGTGACTTGCAAATGTCAACTATTATCCCCATATACTCACCTACCCCATCACAGAGAGTACTTGAAGTCACCCCAAGGTAATGGGCACATTTTCCTTGGAGCAATCTGGAATCCTTTATTGAAAAAAACGAATTGCAATGGAATGCACATCACTTCAGAGCACTCTGTGAGATCAGAGATGGAAGATCTAATAATTGACTTATTTTCAGGCGAATTTCAGTGATAACAAGGAGAGCTGTTCATTTCAGTTGTCAGTAAGCTAAAGATTGGCACACTCAACTTGCTCATCTTCTGTCTATCTCGAAACAAGGGACAAGGAAGAGGCTAACATATCATCGAATTAAAAGATTGTTAGTCCTTACAAGGAGAAAGAAAGTGAATCACCAGCTCCAAAGATGGAATGCGGATGCCGGTTATGTCCTTTTCTCTATCAAAGCTCTGGGATCAAGCAGAAATGACATCAAGATGTGCATAAAATGACCCAGCTGCAAAAAGGAAATAGTTTTACAATTGTACAGTAACATTTACCTCGTGGTACCATGAGAATAGAGGAATAATTGCCAAACCATCAATGACACTAGGATTAGTTTCCACTCCAAGCGTCTGACATGCATCAAGCATTTTATCCAGCTTTTGAAGAGAATCAACCTGAATACAGAGGATGCATCACATTAATCACGTTGTATTGCTTTTAGTTTTACAAAACTACCATTATAGCAGGAAAGCAGTACTCTACTTCAGTGGCAACAGAGGAGGGAAAAAAGAAAAGAGGAGAGGAAACACCACCAATGTTCATTCTTAGAGTGTTACTTTTTCTGCATGGACGAAGCTTTTGAGACCTAAACTTAATAAGACTGTCTAAAAGGCAATGTCGTTGACTGAGAAAGGGACATGCATAAGAAACTGCAGCCATAAATGCTTCAAAAGGAGAATTTCTGTTCAGTTAAAAATCCCGCCATTAGTAACGGGATTCCATAATGTCACAAAACCATTTTAACAGAATACAATGACACATGAATGCAAAATCACAAAAACAACTAGTAACATATGATGCAAATCTACACAGTACATTTGAACTAGATTCTGTAAATCACATCTTCATGGAACGATATGAAGAAAAGCATGCTTACAAAATTCTCTTTCTCCCTACGGAGCCAAAGGTCGTGGTTTCCGGGCACAAAGAACACATGCTCAAAACTATCCTTCAAGAAGGACATTGTTAAAACAAACTTCTCATAAGTCTCTGCAACATCTCCTGCAACGAGCAGAACGTCCTTTTTCTTCCCCTTGCTAGGTAAACCCTTTACCCATTCCATGTTCTCCGAGTATTCTGTATGCAAGTCTGAAACTACAAAAACCTCCAAACCAACTGTATCTACCCTAGCAGAAGGGATAATCTTATGCCTCGTAACATCCCCCTCTTTCATGAGATATCTCCCGTTATTCTGCACTCCCATACATTTGGGAAGACATCTCGAACGTCCAGGCTGCAGAGTGAAAATCGAGCTGGACGAAATTAAGCATAGAACCATATTTTTATTGCTTTCTTCTCCTTTCCTATTTCCTCTACTCTTGAATCAGCTAATCCTACATCAGAAAATCAAAGAATTTATTCTTGAGCATGAATAACAAGCTCCTATAAAGTTGATCACTTTTAAGTACGATGCACAAAACATTTTTAATTTCTTAGAATTCAACCGCAAACAAACAGAAACCCTTCATCTCAGAAATGCAAACATAAAGCCGCAGCCTACACATTATAAATGAATAAAATAGCGATAACTGGAAAAGAATAATTGTCAACTCATGAAGCCAAAACTGTGAATACGGAAATCAATATAGTAGATAAGGTAACATTTACTTATTTATTGTAGCTAATTCTGTAAAACCAATGAACTGAATAAGAATGGCTCTTTTTACAGAAATGATGATAAAGGAGCAGAACAATTGACAATCCTAAACTTACCTATCAACATCCATTAACCTAAAATTATACAAATATACATCACCCAGGGGAATATCATATTATCATTACGGAAAGTTGAAATAGAAGATAAAAGTACCATGGTATCACTGCTAAATGATCCTTTTCTCTGTAGGTCGTCCGGAGATGAACAAGAAAATACAGAATTGTTGGAGTGATTTTATTCACTTTTTATCTCACACAGTGAGACAAAAAAGAGGCACAAAATAAAAAATTTCCAATTGTTGGAAACGGAACCCAATTATCCATAGCCTGGCATCTGTTGGAAACTGTAGTCGCACCAGCTGAATGCGTTTTATAATCGCGTTAAAATGCATTCTATAAGGCATTTACTGAAAACACCCTCAAGGTGTCACGTGTTTATTTCCAAAGAGTATTGAAATTTTAAAAAATATTTTTAGTTTCTATTTTTCAAAAATAATTTCAACCATAAGCAATTACGTATTCTTTTAAAACTCTACAAAAACTGAAAACACATTAGAGTTGTTTAAGTTTTTCAAATAGAGAAAAGTAGAAAGAAAATAAATTTCTAATGACGATTTGTTGAAAAGAAAGTTTAGATTTTTTTTTGCAAAAAATCAAAAAAAAAAAAACTTGTTTCAGACTGGTTTGGAGCAATATTTGGAGGCTGCTAAGTGGTAGGTCCGATGGACTTTAAACCCGAAAAGGTTAATATCTCAAAAACCCTAAAACAGCAGAAATTAACAGTATCGCAACTGAGCAACCCCTCCCACCAGCTCGTCCTCCTCCGCCACTGCTGCCGCAACCGCAACCACATCCGCCGGTGTCATACACGTCAACTGAGTATTCATCTACAGAAATTGTCTCAGAAAATTCCAGAATTTCGCAAGTATTCCAACCATTCTTCCCGTATTTGCGGTATTTGATTGCTTCTTCGAAATCTTTACTCTCGTCCTTTCTAATGTCCGATTGGTTAGATATTTTCAGCTTATTCATACTTTAGGGGTCAGAATTTCACTTAGTTAGAAGAAGAAAATATTTCTATCTGTTGTGAATCCTGAATTGTTATTCAGCTGTTGGAATGAACTTACTTTGCAGCATTTGTTTTGGGATTTTTCTGCTTGAGCTTTTCACATTGTACTTATTTGGTTTGATAACTTGCTGAGCCTCTAGCAGTGAAGCTAGTTCCATTATGCTGTTTTAGTTTTTCTTGTTTGCTGTAGAATTAAAGTCTAATATGCTATGTAAATATTAGAGCTTAATATGCTGTCATGAAGGAGCCCGAGACTCAATTGGCTCCCAGAAAGTCAAAGGCATCCTCTTGATGGGGGAATGAATCTTTGATTTTTGAAAGTATAATTTCAATGTCCCTATATCCTTAGTGTCAGAAGGCTTTTGTGCTATTTCAAGCTTTTTCTGTAGGAATTTGTGGTTTTGTAAAAATTTTCTATTTCGGAGTTTGAACTCGATTGTGCTTTTTGAAGCATGTTTCGTTTGTAAATCTTGGAGTTTCTATTTTGTGTGATCTTGCTATTTCAAAGATTGAATTGTGATGCTTATGGTGTTCAAATTCTTTTAAAAAGATGCTTTATTACCATGATTTTTAATTTTCGAATAACAAGCAAGGTTTTAAAACCCATGTCTGTTTTGCTAAATGATGGTTGTCCTATGAGTTGTGCACAATGGGTGAAGACAATTATAATACCACGATAACTGAAGTAAAATCTGTTATCCCCTGATAGTAGCAATCTATTACGGCCTCAGTAGATTATACAGGTGGATTAAGATTTGAGATTGGTTATAATTTTTCGATGCATTCTGAGCTAGTCTCGAAGGGTATTTCATCAGTATGCCTTGTCTCCTAATCATGTTCTCCTTTTTCTTGTTCTCCTTTTGCAGAGAAACCTCTTTTGGTGCATTGCAAGAAGACACAATTGATATATCCGAAAGAAGCATGGTAATAGGAGATGAGAAGTTGGATATGCTCCCGAAGAAGGAGAAGAAATCCAAGAAAAGCAATAAGAATGCTGCTACCAGTGGTCCAGGAGTGGTAGTGGCTGATGTTAAAATGCTAGATGGTGATTTTAGTTTTGAGGTAGAGAAGTTATCTGTTGTGGAAACCAAGAAAGAAAGGAATAATGCAAAATTGGAAACTAAAACAATAGGAGAGAGTGATGATTGTGACATCAAGAGAAAGAAAAAGAAAAAGAGAGAGGGTGGAACACATCATGGGAAGTCCACTGAAGGCAGTGATGAAGATGTTGCAATAAGTGTTGAAAAAAAGAAACCCAATAAGTTGAAGAGAAGCCACCAGGATGAGCGAGAGTTAATTCTTGATGCTCCTTTAGACACCAAGACTACTGCTCATGTAAGTGTGAGTGAAACACGGGACAATAAGAAGGTGGTTGAGATACTCAGCGAGGTTTCTGGTGGAGATGCTGTAGAGGAGACTAGGAGGAAGAAGAAATCCAAGAAAAGCAATAATAATGCTCGGACCACTGATGTAGGACTGCCAAACAGTGATGTTAGAGCTGTTGAGGGTGATTTAAGCTTAGAGGAAGAGAAGCTGTGTATTGTGAAAACTAAGGAAAAAAATGAGAAGGTCAATAAGGAAACTAAAGCAGCAGGAGAAAGTGAAGATTATGATGTCAAGAGAAAAAAAGGAAAAAAAGGCAGGACGTTCAAAGACGGTGCCGAGGCTGCTTTGGAAAGTGTTGAAGAAAAGAAAAGTAAGAAGTTGAAGAAAAGCTGCCGGGATGAGCTGGGGAGAATGCATGATATCGAGGATGGGCAGGGAGATATTGTGACAGAAGTCAATCAAGGTGATATTTCTTCAACTGTGGAAGAGATGGAAGAACAAAGCAGAACAGATACCGGTAATATCAGAAAGAGGAAAAAGGCAATGTTAGGACACAGTTCTGAAGATCCTACACATGAAAAGAGTGAAAAGAGAGTGAGATTCTCTGGTCATGTTCAGATTTTCCCTTCATCCGGTGATCCAAGTGACGAGAATCATGAAACCGAGGAAGAAAATTTACTCCGTGGCAAACGATTCTCGAAATTAGAAGATGAAATTGTCAAAGAGGCTGTTCATAAGTACATAGATATACATAACTTGGGCGAGGAAGGGCTGCAAAAGATCTTGAACTCTAGATCTAATCCTGAAGTAAAAGGCTGCTGGAAAGAAATAGGGGGCGCTATACCGTATAGGCCTTATACTGCGGTTTATTATCGTGCACAGGTCTTGTTCCGAAGGAGTGAGACGCGTAAATGGACTGAAGAAGAGTACGAGATGGTACGAAAATTCCACAAAGAGCACGGGAACAATTGGAAGGTCTTGGCTGATGAACTTGGAAAACATCGGTTTCATGTGAAGGATACATGGCGAAGGCTAAAACTGGCCAATAAGAAGAAAGGACAATGGAGTCAGGAGGAATACCAGACTTTGTTTGATTTAGTAAACACCGATCTGAAACTGAAGCTTTCTGAAGAGAAGAAATCTAAGCATGGGATGTTACGGGATAATATTGCCTGGGGCGCGATAAGTGACAGATTGTCCACGAGAACTGATGCAACTTGCTGCTTGAAGTGGTATGACCAATTAACATCACCCATGGTGGCCAAAGGTGAATGGGCAGATACTGATGACTATCGCCTAGTTGATGCACTTTTTGAGCTGGATGCGAGCTGCATAGAGGATGTGGACTGGGACAATCTTCTTGACCACAGGCCTGGCGAGATATGTCGAAAGAGATGGAACCAAATGGTTCTTCACATAGGTCAACATGGAAACAGGTCATTTGCTGAGCAAGTAGACGTTCTAGCTAAGAGATACCGTCCAGAATTGGTCGAAGTAAGAGAGGCTTGGGATAGTAAACCAGTTATTCCATGATATGGCATCACTCAGCATGGATGTGTCTGTAGAGAGTTGTCTTCAAGTAACACATACCATTGGGATAAACTTCTCCGTCTCTCTCTCTCTCTCTCATGATTATTGAAATGTTTTATAAAACATTTAGAAGACATAATTTAGAGGAGCTTCATTTCTGTCTGGTCGAAAGAAAAGGGAAAGATCTCCTCAATGAGATATTGGATTGTTAATCTGCAGGGCAAGAGATCTATCAATTTCAACTGCTACTTGAGATGAAGGTTTTGAGTTTTGACAATGTGTTGTTATCATTGCTCTTATGTTTCTATTCCTTTATTATCTGTAGTGTATCCTTTTTCTATTCTCCAATCTCATAGCATATGGTATGTGTTCAGTACTTAATGTAGTCTTGAAATATCATTTATCACTTCAATAGAGTAAAGGAATACAGAAGTAAAATAGGGATGTAAATGATGAGATGCTTCACTTGATTTTGTTTTTCGTTGTTGTGTTTCTCTTACTGAAGTGCATTCCTTTTCCAATATTTCCTCACCTTCTGTCAAAAAAAGAAGAAGGTATAAATAGCTAACTGAAGCAGGTTAGGGTATTTACTTTTCACTAGTAATCTTACTGGCAAATCTCATACAACAGCTTTGAACAATAAATGCAAAGTCATTGTATATAAAAAAAAAAAAAAAAAAAAAAAAAAACCCTTCGAACATTGCAGGCTTGCAGCTGTCTACCTTCATTTGTTTCCTGTAAATATGGCATATGCGATGGGTGCTCTCATGTGGAACAACCAGCAAATGTAGATGAAAAATGTGCAGGAGTAAATGTTGGATTAATGATCAAAAGAAAAATAAATTTGTTAGATATCCCTCCCAGGTTCATGTTGTTCTAAACTAGCTCTCTCATCAAAATTTTGTAAATATCTTCAATTGGAATCCTCGTATATATCAGGAGGAACATTCTTTCTTGTGAATGTGCAACTCAATTTCCTTGTACATATGATGCACAAAAGGAATAGAGCCAGAATTTTGTCATCCAGCTGTAAATGATGCATGAAAGGTAAATCAACATTGATCCTGTGATATGGAACTATATGTATAGGTTCTTGGTGCTGCAATGTTTTATCCTAAAGTGGGTGATGCTGCTATTGTATACACTGGCGATTATAATATGACACCAGATAGACATCTTGGAGCTGCTCAAATTGATCGGCTGCAGCTGAACCTTGTCATAACAGAGTAAGTAGGTCAACATATCATCTTCTGTCACAAAACCATTCAGGACATTTGCACCAAATGCTTCAGCTTAATTTAGACGGGGGTAAAAACTATAAGATGTTCGCTTCAATAGTTGGCATAATAGGAAAGTATTTATTTATTATAGTTAATTCGAAGCTTGGCTTTGCTTTGCTTTGTAGTATTTGTGATCAGCAGGGGGACTACTTTCAGTGTTTCGCAGGAAAAAAGGTAAGATGGTGAATGATTAAACCTATGTTGAATCTGACTTAGTGGAGTTATAACAGGAGCTTAGTAGAGTTGGATTCCAAAAAAAAAAAAAAAAAAGCATATATGATTGATTTTAGCTTCCTTTAAATGTAGCAACAGTTAATGCAGCTACATTTTGTACATTGAACAATATATCTGAGCATAAGCTGTAAAATAAATTATTGGAAAATCAGTTCGCCGCTATGGAAAGAGCTTTCAAAATGCAAGAAGAATAGGTTCTTGGAATCAAATCATAAGAAATGATGCCATCGTGCGTTGCGTTACGTTACGACAATACTAGTGGATAGAGAAAAAGTGGGAAAATGGGGAACCAAAAATCAGAAGAAAAAGAGGAAAAAGAGAGATTGGACAAAGGAAAATTGTATTAAAATGAAAGTTAGCTGTATGCCAGCCCTGTAGGAAGCTATAACGAAAAAGAAGAGAGACGAGACAAGAAAGAGGTCACGTGAGATGATATGCATTTACGTTAGACTCCTATATTTGCTAATGCAAACGACAACCGAAAATCTCTAGACGTAACAATATTGAAGTCTGAAGATTATAAGAGTTCACATGAGATATGGCCAATGCCTTACTGTATTTGCAAAAAACAAAACAATGCCGACACTGCCCGTGCTTCAATTGGAAGCTCCTTCATCTTAGTTTAATCATATTTATATTTGAGATTGAGGCATACATACGTAATTGATTGATTGTTATTGCTACCATTTTTTACCAACTGTTTTGCTCAGGAGTACAACGAAACAACGTTTGTGGAGCAATATATTTTTCATTTGCGAAAAGGATAATATAATTCTTTTATATTTGGCTAGTATTTTTTTCTTGGAGTAAAATGTTTTGGCTTCTATAAAATAAAGATGTTTCTTCTTATTCAGTAGCATCCACAATGTAGTCATAAGGGGTTTGAGAGTCTTGTTTAGGGAGAGAATTTCAGGACAAGTGTTAGCCTGTCACTTGTGCTTGTCTCTTTGTGAAGTTGTTCTCTCAATATTTTGTACTCTCTTTCATATAATGGATTGCTCATCTTTGCCTGTAGACGTAGGTCAATTGACCGAATCACGTTAAATATTTGTATTTCTTTTGGTATATTCTTTTTTTGTCTAATTTATCTTCAATCAAGGTTTGCTTTGCTAGCTTCTGATGACACCTGATTATTTTGATCCTAACAAAAACTGCTAAAACACATGGCAAGGATTTCGACTCCTCCTATGATATATAGTCGGCAAATAATAAAATATATTATCCTTTCATTTCCAACGAGAGAGTACAACAAGTCACGTTGGTCTCCCATTTTAGTAAGAGGGATGTAATAGTAAAACATTATTAAATGAACTAGTATGAAAAAAGATAGTGGGAGTAAATGTTTAACATAATATAAGGACTTATAGACTGTAAATTATACTTCTTGTTTGACGAATGGTATCATGAAAGTAAAGTTTTCTTGAAATTTAAGACTGATGAGTGCACGCGCGAGGAAGTCAATGTTTGTTGGCACCACCACTAGCAAGTGTCACTTATCATGATGTAATTTTGGTTAATTGGTTCACTATGATGTCTCTACAAATAGAAAAATCTGCATTGATATACATATTGTCCACCTCAAGCAATAACAACCTTTCCTTATCAGTCCACCACGCCTAACTATGACATTTTCAAAATTTAAACTCGATGAGTTAAACTTTGAAAATTTTAGTATTAATTTATTACATTGAAAATTATGGATTTAGAATTTAATTTGATACTTATAATATGTTGGTGTCAAAAATACTGTGTTCAGTTAGATCCCATTGAATAAAATCTCTCTCTGCTGACTGCCCCCGCCTATCACGTCCGTGGACCTCTATTCTAAGTAACTAGTGTATATAAATAGCTAGCTACCTGCTCATTCATATTAATCACACACAAGGCTAGCTCCAATTTGCCCTTTCACTAAAAGGGGCTCTGCATATTTTACTGTTGTTATATTTCTGTCGTAGCCAAAACCAAAAGCTGCCGGAAAATCCAGAGGATGATGCCACCAATTTTGAAGCTGCTACTATGGTGCTGCTTGTGTTTGTGTGGTGTACTAACAACAACGTATGCTCGTCCTCAGCCTCGAAATCTGATCGTTGATTCAAATTCCACTTCCAACGACGAGTTCATCCGCAGAAGCCTCTTGAGCAATGGCCTCGGCCGAACTCCTCAAATGGGGTAAGATTTTGTTTTCGAGTTACACACTTTCAGTGTACAGAAGTTAAATTCGTTTACGTAAGACATTATTGAAAGTGGAAGAGTATAAGTAGTGTTGTTGTTATCATGAAAGAAAACCATGAATGCAGAGTATGTGGGATTCATAATGGCAGCTCGTGAACTTGTCAAGTTGTCCATACTTATTTAATTAAGATCTATAATTCAAAAACATTTTACTACAAGAAAACAAAAACAATTCAGATGGGGCAGTGATTTGGCCCCCTTAATTGACGACCCCACTCCACTTATTTTTATGCAAAATCAGAGAAAGGGGTACGTATCAAGAAGACAGTTTAGTGACTAAACTATCATAATTCAAGATTTAAATGTCATGTTTTTTTAAAAAAATTATGTGAAGAAAGTAAATTTAGAGAAAGGCTAGCTTTGGATGATTGAGTGTTGTTGTTGTGGGTGATAAACAGATGGAGCAGCTGGAATCATTTTGGTTGTAATATTGAGGAGAAAATGATAAGGGAAACAGGTCAGCTAAATTATTGACTAGTTTCAAATGAACAAATTCATGTACCATAGTTCTTTGCTAGCTACAATACAGTTGTCACAAATTGGTTTTATATGTGGCAGCTGATGCAATGGTCTCTACTGGACTTGCTTCTCTTGGTTATGAATACATCAACATAGGTAACTTTGTGCTTTACCGTGTTTATTACAAGATCACTTAAAAAATAATTACATGTGACTTCCCATTATAACTTTTGAAATAGACAATATGCTACAACCGATTAAATTACATTGATAGTGTTAATTTTTTTTAATACAATCAGCGTATATATAAAAGTTAAATCCTATAATGAATTACAGTCTTGTTGTTACTAGTAATTTAGCTTCCATAGTTTACACCTAATCAATTATTTGTCATATTTTCTTCCTTCAGATGACTGTTGGGCCGAACTCAACAGAGACTCTCAGGTACCCTAATTTGCTTCCCCTATTTTTTATTTCTAATTCCATTTTCTATTCTCAGATAATAACTCGTATTATCCGGCCTATGTACACCCCTAGTTCAATACATAACAAAAATGGCCAAAAGGAAAAAAGAGGAAATATCATTATCACGATTACGTTTGTGGCAAATCTCTTAGCCGACAAAGGAGAAAAAACTCAATAGTCAATTATACCCTTACTTATGAGACTATTTTAGATGAAGCTTCATAAAAAGGACGTACGAAATATTGGATGCACCTAACTTTATTTAGTTTAAATATTAAGATATATGTTGAAACGGATCTTAAATTTTAAATTACTCCATATCGAGAATTAATGCGTACACTTTTCATATATATATATATGGGCGAACGTAGTGTATGGATATAATTAAATTATTCAATAAAGTCGAGCTGAAGGTAGTGAATGGAAAGGTACTTGCAACTTATATTGTAAATTTGGTCCTGGATTTTTGACACTTTGCATGTAAACTTTTTTTTTTTTTTTTGAATTTTCACGTTGAGTAGAGCATAAAATAATTTGAATAAAGTCGTGAAGTAGTTGATACTAAAGCTTTTAACAAAATTTGACAGGGAAATATGGTTCCTAAAGGTTCTACTTTTCCTTCTGGGATTAAAGCACTAGCAGATTATGTTCATGGCAAAGGATTGAAGCTCGGAATTTATTCTGATGCTGGGTAATTTTTTTTTTTTTTTTGGTAACTATCAAATTTTTTTAGTCACCAAAGCAAAACAATACATCTTAGACATAATTTTATTAATTCCTTTTAAATTTTATGTATGCCTTCTATAAAGGAATACATAATTAGGTGATTGTAATATTGTAATGCATACATTAATAGACGTAAAACTAAATCAGTTTTGAAATTTCCAAGAAATGATAAACGAAGGTTCTTTTTTTTTTTTTTTTTTTTTTTTTTTTTTGTAATGCAGGAGTCAGACGTGTAGTAATCAAATGCCAGGTTCATTAGGACACGAAGAACAAGATGCAAAAACTTTTGCTTCCTGGGTATCTTTGCTTGGCCTATATAGACACATTTAAAAAAAAACAATAATCATAATTTTGGAGATTATAATTGAGTTTATTATTTTTACTTTTGCATTTAATCGCCAATACTTAACTTGTCCTATATTTCTTAGGGGGTTGATTACTTGAAGTATGATAATTGTAACAACGAGAATCGAAGTCCAAGGGAAAGGTACTACCTTTCTTAACAAGAATATGCCTTTTGTTGTTGTTTTTAAATTTTTTTATTTTTACTATGATATTTTAAAATGTCCATTAAGTGTATTTGTTTCCTTAAATGAAACAGGTATCCTACAATGAGCAAAGCTTTACAGAACTCTGGAAGGGCTATATTTTATTCTCTATGTGAATGGTGAGAATATTTCTTGAATTTAATGTGATGATGCCATTGGCGGCACATCTAGATTATACTAAGGATTTTAATAAGTATTTTTTTTTTTTCCAATTTCAGGGGAGATGATGATCCTGCCACTTGGGCTTCCTCTGTTGGAAATAGTTGGAGAACTACTGGAGATATTTCTGATAATTGGGACAGGTAAAATAGAAATTTTAAAAAACAAAGAGAAGTGCTCTTCAATTTTTAATTCAAAAGTAAGAAAAATAGAAACTTTCGTTACAACTACTGTGTGCATTCCTAGCTCATTGAGGTTGTTCCTTTTAAAAAACAAAAAATAAAAGGAAAACTACCAGCTATGTCCATTTTTTTTCACTTTTTTCCGGAATTTTATATTTCTTACATCCAAACGCCCACTTAATATGCTCGACTTGGCAGCATGACTTCTCGGGCAGATATGAATGACAAATGGGCATCTTATGCTGGTCCAGGTGGCTGGAACGGTAACTATTAAAATTTCATTTATTTAATTTGATAATAAATCAAGATTAATTTTCCCAACTTTGAATTAATTTGGCATGGTGTTTGTTGTTACAGATCCAGACATGTTGGAAGTTGGAAATGGAGGAATGACCACTGCAGAATATCGTTCCCATTTCAGCATATGGGCATTAGCAAAAGTCAGTGGTGATTATAATTCTGAATTTAACTTTTAAAAAAAGTTCTCTTTGCAAAATGGACTTTAATTTGTTATGTATTTTTTTTGTTTTGTTATAGGCGCCTTTAATAATAGGTTGTGATTTGCGTTCGATTGACCAAACTACCCATGAAATCCTAAGCAACAAAGAGGTTATTGCAGTTAATCAAGGTAAAAAAAAAATTCATTTTCTTCTTTTTTTCAGTTGCATTTTAACAAGACTAATGCTAGAAGACTAGAACATAACATTTTTCTACTTGTTTAAATTGAGATCAGATAAACTTGGAGTTCAAGGTAAAAAAGTTAAGCAGAATGGAGATTTGGAGGTAAGTAATTTTTCAAATTACCCTCTATCCAATTTGAAGTTCCACTTAACTCTTCTTTAACACAATAACAACAACGACATACTCAGTGCATTTCTACAAGTGAATTCTGGGGAGGGCAGGATGTACGCATATCTTATCCCTATCTTATGTGAGGTAGAAATGATGTTTCCAATAGACCATCGGCTCAAGAAAAACATTTTCAAAATAGGTTTGAAGAAAAAGTATTGCCAGCAAAAATAATAATGATGGTAGCCCGGTGCACAAAGCATCCCACGTTCACGCAAGGTTCGGGAAGCGCCGCACCCCCAAAGGGTGTGACGTAGACAACCTACCCTAATGCAAGCATTAATGACTGCTTCTACGGTTCAAACCTATGATATATATGTTACACAAAGACAACTTTATTATTGTTCCAAGACTCCGTTTCTTTTTTAACTCTTCTTTAATACAAGACCTGCAAATACAGGTTTGGGCAGGACCTTTAAGTGGCAAAAGGGTAGCAGTGGTGCTATGGAATAGAAGTTCATCCAAAGCTGATATCACTGCTTATTGGTCTGATATAGGCCTTGATTCTTCCACTCTTGTTGATGCACGAGACTTGTGGGCTGTAAGTCTTTCATTTATTCTTTTTTTCTAATTTAAATTGCTCACATATCATTACTTTAACATGATCAATATGTCCAATTATGTCTTTTATTACTTGTTAATATTTTTAAACCTATCTACATTGCATAGAAATAAATCTTTACGCATAGGTGGATTTTATTTTTAAGTTAATGAATATAAGGTATTATTGTACTAATTAATTACTCTTTTGTGGTGATGGTACGGTCCAGTTGAATAAGGAAATAATTTTCTATGACAAGATATAATTTGAATAAAAGATAATTATCCTTCAAAAATCTTGTGTATTTTGTTTACCGATCTCATGTATTATATTTGACGAATGTCCCATGAAAAGAGTGATAAAACTAAAATTCTTATTTTATTTCCAAAGCAAAGGAGAAGTGTGATTTTGAAATTTATAGCTTAATTTGGACGACTGCTTAGATAAGCAAAAATAGAAAAAATGATAAGCATCATTTTCTTTGTATATTTACATGTAAGTTTAACGTGAATAACATATATCAATTGAATTGATTTGCAGCATTCAACAAAAGGATCAGTTAAAGGACAAATATCAGCTAGCATTGATTCACATGATTGCAGGATGTATGTTCTCACTCCTAAAAAATAAGTTCAACAAATGGAGGCATATATACCTAGCTCATTTTATTAGAAGAAGAAAAATAAGTTATGGAATTTTCATTTTATAGTTGGCAACTAGCACGAAAATCAATATTAAGCTATTATGGAGTTGTTTTCTTTATGTAGTGAACTTAGTGCATGTTGTTTTCTTTCTCTCTATTTAATTTACTTTATGTTTATCATTTTATTATTTCAATTTCCATTACTTTAGCTGCTACTGCTTAGTATGTTATCACACTTTTAGACTTTAATATAATTTAACATCACAAGACTTAAAAGTATTCTTTTATATTTATTAGCCTTGAGGCTCAGTCAAGACAGTACACAAAAGGAAACAGATGGTGAGATGGATTAACATTTTGAAATGAGCGTTAGTTAGAATGCGCACTTTTCTTTTTAACATTGTGTGACGCCCATGACGGAGGACGGATTAAGCAGGATTGACATGTTTCTAGGCTAGCTAGCAAGCTTTTAAAGAAGGGGTGAACATGTCATATTAGGCAAATCTCACATCGAAATGTGAGATGAAAGTGAAGAGTTTTATAAGGCACAACAGAAGTTCACATCATACACGCGCGTTTTTGGACTCGATGATGGCGTAATCCAAGAGACAAATCCGTTGGATCTATTGGGCCAAAGCGGATAATGCGTGCCATGAACTTGGATCGTGACAAATATAATACGAGAGCCTAACTCTCTCTCAGTGCGGTGGTGGATCGAGCAAACCTCAGCGAGGACGCGCCCATAATGGAGAGTGGGTCAAGCAGGACCAGCAGGCTTCTCAGCTGGCATGCTTCTGAAGAAGGGATGCACCACCTAAGGTGAACCATATTAGAACGGGAGAAGAAACACTATAAGTTCACATGGTATGCCGCGTTTAGCCCAAGAGACCAATCCGTGAGGTTTATTGAGCCAAAGTAGATAATACGTGTCATGGACTTGGGCCGCGATACTTAGTATAAACAAGCCAACAACGGTTGCTTAACTAGTTGGATTATTGCAAATCTAATCTTAATAAAAATAAAACAAAAACTCAACAAAAGAGATGGAACTTAAAATTTCTTGACTCTATGGAAACAACAGATGCTTCACTATTTGGAATAGTACAAATCTAATTGAAAAACTCAATGGAAAATATTGAACTTAATTGAACTTCTTTGTGGAAACAACGGATGCTTCACTATTTGGATTAGCACAAATTAATGTAATTAAGTAATTTTATTATAACACAAATCAGATCCCTGAGTTGATTTGTGCTATCTGTTTAGTTAGAATGGAGGATTACAATTTTAGCTATAACAGATGTTTTCAACATCAAGTCCATGAAGTTTTGTCTTAATTATAAATGATGTTTTATATTTCAAGTGCATCAGATCAAAGTTTGTATAAACGTTGTACTACTATTTTTTGTCTTTTGTGTTAGCCACAAATTAATCCTCTTTACGTCATCATATAAATAATATTCTGGCATTGTCTATAAGTATATAATATGATTTGTCACGACCCAAAATTCACTAAGGATCGTGATGACACCGAACTCCACTGTAAGGCAAGCCGACATCAAATAACTAAAAATTTCTCATAGAATTCTACTGAATAAATAATGACGTTTTTAACAAATCTAAATACTGAATAATCCCTTAGTCATCCCAGAACCCAGTGTCACAAGTGCATGAGCAATTTCTAGGGAACAATGTAATACACTAACCGTCCGGAATACAAATTGGACAGTAAAGGAAATACAATACACTACTCTGAAGGAGACTCTGCTGGTTGCGGACCATCTCGAGAAAAGCAGCTCACCCCAGTCTCTGTATCAACCATGCCGCTGCGCCGAACTAAGCCACAAGACAAACATGTGTCTGTGCAACAAAAATGCACAGCAAGTATAGCATGAGTACAAAAACAACGTGTACCCAGTCTTACTAGTGGTCCAGTGACAAAAATACATTAAAGAAGTGAATAAATATGAAGCAGAGTAAACATATTAAACAAACATGTATAAAATACGTGAAACAATTCCCTTCTTTACGACTATACTCAAGCTCTCAAGTAACATGTTCCCTCCGTAACCGGAACATATACATAAAGGTATAGTGGCCTTCATAAAATGGTTGTTACAATTTCAAATCAGGGAAAGATCCCCAGGTACACTGGCTGCTAGCCAAATGTTAAGCACGAGTTCTATAAGAATGATGTGTGTGTGTGTATATATATATAGAAAATGCCGAGGCGTACGGTCCGATCCAATATAAAAGTAAAATGTGCACTGCCGAGGGTCGAAATACGCGAACCATAGATGCATCTATTAATGTCACGACTCGAAATCCCTCCAAAGGAATCGTGATGGCACCTAGTCTCTAAACTAGGTAAGCCTAACATTTACTGAAATAACATTAACATTTACTGACTTCAAATTAAATAACTCTTAATAAATCACAATTCCCAAAACCGGTGATACAAGTCATAAGCCTTTCTAAGAGTAGTTATACAAAATAAATACAACATTATTCCAGAACGAGAAGGAATCAATGGGACGTAAATACAAACGAAGGTGACTCCGAGGCCTGCGAACGCAGCAATAGGTTACCGTGAGTCTCCACCGCGACGGCCCGCACAGCTACTATCGATCAATACCCGGATCTGTACACATAAAAAATGTACATAAGTGTAGTATGAGCACACCACGGCGGTGCCCAGTAAGTATCAAGACTAACCTCGGTGGGGTAGTGACGAGAAACAGTAAGACACCTACTGGTCAAATGAAATGAATAGGATGGGATAACAAAATATCGAGTTAAAGATAACGAGGTAATACCAACAGCGGAGAGAAATCAAAATACAAACAGTGGGAACAATAAAGGGAGAACGCGGGTAATAACTAACGATAACCAAGTAAATCAACACTGACATAACAGGAACAGAGACAAGTAAGAATGTTTTCAAATAAAGAAGGCAATGCCAACACAGCCAATCATATCATGCCTAGTACACAATCCCGACCATCTCAACCCTTGATTTCTCATGTCATAATCTCAACTTCCGAACCTTCAGCACATATGGCACCTTGTGCCCGCATATTTTTCCGTCTCACTTTTAACAACAAAATCCACATGCTATACATTACATAATGTCCGTACAAATGCACTCAAGATGTTCAAGAAGTCTCATTTACATAATATAAAGTAAATTACAATTTCTAGACTAATTAGGAAAAAAAACAGCGAGAAAAGTTGAAGTTGTTTAATATAATTAAATGCTAGCAGTATGAAGTAATACAGGATAATAAGAATAACAACGGCTATAGCAGAGACAAAATAATCACAGAAGGAATACAGCTCAATACAGAGATAACATCCGGGGATCTCTCAGTATCCCGAGGATCTCTTAGTATCCTCAATATGTGTGCTGGGGATCTCTTGGTATCCCGAGATCTCTTGGTATCCCGACTATCTCCTAGTATCCTCAATATATGTGATGGGGATCTCTTGGTATCCCGAGGATCTCTTAGTATCCTCAATATATGTGCTGGGGATCTCTTGGTATCCCGAGGATCTCTTAGTATCCTCAACATATATGCTGGGGATCTCTTGGTATCCCGAGGATATCTTAGTATCCTTAGTATATGTGCTGTGGATCTCTTGGTATCCCGAGGATCTCTCAGTATCCTCAATGCATGTGCTGGGGATCTCTTGGTATCCCGAGGATCTCTTAGTATCCTCAATATATATGTTGGGGATCTCTTGGTATCCCGCACTACAGTACAAATCAATATAAATATACATGTGCACGGCATCACCCTTCGTGCTTTATCACTCTTTCGCACCCAAACAGTAGAAACAACAACATCCCGACAAGGGAATCAATCAATAGAAACAATAACATCCCGGCAAGGGAATCAACGAAGAAACAATAACATCCCGGCAAGGGAGTCAACAATAGAAACAATAACGTCCCGACAAGGGAATCAACAATACATAATAAGGGTCATAGAAAACCAAGAAGCACGATAACCTCAACAAAACAACAAGACATAATAAGCACGTGATAGCTACACCGGTAACCACAACAATTGGACATGTAACATACTTGCACGAAGTCATAGAGGAACTCACAATAAAGAAGTATCAAAACAATAAGGAAGGCAATCACTTCAATTAAGGCAATTAAGGGTCAATGTAACACGTAAGAATTAGAGGAAAGTTAACAACATCATATAAAGCATATAGATGCAATTCGAGCAATTATTAAACCCAACCATAACAGGATACTTTTCACATAATGGACATAAGGACCTAAGAACCCTAGAGGCAAATTTTCCACAAATAAATCCGAGCACACACTCGTCACCTCGCGTGCACGGACTACAATTAGCATAGAAGACTCAAATCTTAAGGGGAAGTCCCCCACACAAGGTTAGGCAAGATACTTACCTCAATCCGGCTGATTCAATACTCAATTTAGATTTTCCTTTACCAATTCATCAACACTCGGCTCAATCTAGCCAAAAACGACTTGAATACATCAAACAATGCAAGAGAAAACAATTTCAATTAACAAAACTATGATTCTTATACAATTTGCAAAAAGTCAACAAAAGTCAACTCCCCGGGCCCGCACCTCGGAACCCGACAAAATTTACAAAAATCGAACACCCATTCCGCTACGAGTTCACCCATACAAAAATTATCTAATTCCGATACCATTTGGTCATTCAAATTATCATTTTACATTTTTGAAAGATTTCGCAATTTTTCCCAAATTTTCCTTTAGATTCTCATGAATTTGATGTTATATCTAAGATATAATCACAAAATATTGTTGAAAATTGATTAGAGACACTTACCCAATGATTTGGAGAAGTTTGGGTCTTCGGAAAATCGCCCATGGAGGTTTAGGGTTTGAGAAAATTGAAAAATGGATGAAAATCTCGTCAAAAACCTCACTTAACAGGCCTCAGATGTCGCATTTGCGACCCAGGGTTCGCAATTGCGAACCCTCGCAAATTGTGAACAAAGCAGGGCTGGCAGAAGTCGCATTTGCGACAAAATGTGTTCGCATTTGCGAACTGGGCATCGCAAATGCGATGAAGAAGTTCGCATTTGCGAACACACCAGAAACCAGCAATTTTTCCCGACACGAGAATGAGCATAACTTCCTCATACGATGTCAAATTCGATGATTCTTTTT